ATGAAAATGTCCTTGAAATTATTATAGAGATTGCATTTGATCTATTGATTACTTTGGGTAGTATGGACATTAAAGTAATATCAGTTCTTCCAATCTATAAATGTGGAATGTTTTTCCATATAGTTTTCAGTGAATAGGCATTTTGCTTCTTTGTTTCTATCACTTCTTAACTATTATAAAATACTTGTTTGTTTGCTTGTTTTGGTTTTTGAGACAGGGTCTTGCTATACAGCCCAGACTGGTCTCAAATGAGCTACATAAGCCAGACTCATGATCCTCCTGCCTCAACCTCCTGAATATTGGGATTATAGAGATGCACTACCATGACCAGCTCTTCAGATTTTTATTCTTTTTGATGCTATTGTAAATGGAACTGATTTGTTAATTTGGTTTTGGATAATTCATTGTTAGTGTATAGAAATTACCCTGATTTTTCCATGATGGTTTCATACCCTGAGGCCTTACTAAATTCATTTATTGTTCCTAAAAGTTTTATAATGGAGTCCTTAGGATTTTGTACATATAAGATAGTGTCATCTGCACAATTTAACTTCTTTCTTTCCAATTTGGATGCCTTATATTTCTTTTACTTGCCTAATTCCACCAAGACCTTCAGTACTGTGTTAAATCAAGTGTTATGAGGGGACATCCTTGTTTTTCCTTCCTTACAGGAAATATTTTGGATCTGAGGTACAGTTTAGTTATAGAGTGCTTGCAGAGCATACACAAGGCCCTTGGTTTGATTTCTAGGCAGCAAACAGAGAAAAAAAACAATACCAAAACCAACAAGGAACAGTTTACACTTTTCACTTTTGAATATAATGTTGGCTATAGACTTGTCTGTCATATATGTTTTTTATTATGTTGAGATATATTCCTTATATATCTAATTTGTTGTGAACTACTTTCCTCACTTTTATTGGGATATATTCGTTGTACGTGTGTATTCATTGTGACAATTCCAAATAGACTTATATTGTACATTGGCTAGATTACCCCATAATTTCCCCCCATTCCACTCCCCATTTTAGGAGTTTTTTTAAATCATGAAAGGAGGCTGAATTGCACCTATTAAGATGATCAGATGATTACTGTCCACCATTCTGTTAATGTGGTGTATCACATATATTGATTTGCATATGTTGAACAATCCTGACTCCTAGAGTTACATCCCATTTGATTATGGTATATAATTATTTTATATTAATATATTCCTTATTTTGGTTTACTAGTATTTTAAGAAATTTTGATGGTACTGGGTTTGAACTCAGGGCTTCATGCTTGCTAGGCAGGTGCTCTACTGTTTCAGTCACACCACCAAACCTGTTGAGAAATTCGGCATCTGTTTGTTTGTTAGGCTTACTGGCCCATAACTTTCTTTTCTCATAGTGTTCCTGTCTGGCTTTGGTGTGACACTAATTCTGGCCTTGTAAAATGAATTTGAAATGTTACTTCCTTTTCAATTTTGAGTTCAAGAATGTTTGGTATTAGTTCTTCTTTAGATATCTGATATAATTTACAATGATACTGTCTAGTCCTGGACTTAGTTATTGTTTTGTTTTGTTTTGTTTTGTTTTGGTATTTGTTTGTTTGAAAGGACTTCGTTACTGTTGCAATCTCTTTCCTTATTTGTTACCTGTTTAGATTTTCTATTTCTTTGTAAATCTGGCTTGGTAATGTCTATATTTATAGAAGTTCAAACATTTTTCTATATTATCCAATTTGTTGTATGATTGTTCATTACAGTCACATTCTTTGGCATTGCTGTGGAATCAGTTTTATAGTTCTTCTTTCATTTATAATTTTAGTTATTTAAATCCTTTCTTTCATGGTTAATCTAGCTAGTTTTGTCAATTTTATTTATCACTTGAAATAACCAACCATTTCTTCATTGATTTTCCTCCTTTGTGTGTGTGTGTGTGTGTGTGTGTGTGTGTGTGTGTGTTGTGTTGTGTTCCTAGAGGTTGAATTCAGGGACTTATGCTTGTTAAAGAGGGGCTCTGCCACTGATTATTTTTGAAATAGGGTCTTACATTGTGCCCAGGTCAGCCTGGACCATGATCCTCCTATTTGTGCTTCTCTCAATGGCTGGGATGACAGGCATATACCACCACACCCAGCCATTGGTTAAGCTGAGAGCTTACGAACTTGGCCTTAGCTGGCCTCAAACTGCAATCCTGATCTCTGCCTCCAGACAAGGCAAGGATAGGTCAAGTTAGCCCTATATTATAGTTCTGGACAAAATACTTCTCAAATGATCAAGATATCTAATGCATAGCTAAGTAGAAAATAATCCAAAGGTTAAGGCAGCAAAGGAGACAGAGATGCCAAGCATTCTTATCCTGCTCAGTCACCCATTAGACATCTGTAGGCTCAAGAACAGAAGCAATGTTTTCAGCACAAGTGGTCTTTCAGTCCCTGAAAAGTAATCTAGGCAACTATTATCATCATAACCCACACATGAAGGGTGTTATCTACAACAAAGCTAGAGACTAATAATGTATTACTTAGCCATGGAGCCTCCAAAATTAGTGGGTTTTTTGTGTCAAATAAGAGCAAATAAAGTTAGAGTTTATTTAGGTTATTACTGAGTAATACTCTCAGCCTTTGATAATGTGCAGATATCTTTTTTCACCATTTGAAAGGTATATTTGGTGGACACAGAATTTTAGGCTGACAGTTTGCTTTCACTTCTTATTTTAAAGATGTCTCTAAGTTTGTATAGCTTCTAAGGAGTGATTGCCTCTCTTTTTCTTAATGTAGGAAAATATCTTTTATCTCTGCCTAATTTTAATATTTTCTTAAGCAATGTAATTTTTTGGTATTTTCCTTCATGTTTATTCTGCTCCTTTAAGTTTCTTGGATCTGTAGGGTTTTTGGTTTCTTTCGTTTATTCATATGTGCATACATTGCTTGGGCCATTTCTCCCCCCTCCTCCCCCCACCCCCCCTTGCTTCCAGGCAGAATCTCTTCTGCCCTTATCTCTAATTTCGTTGAAGAGAGAGTATATACAATAATAAGAAAGACATAGCGTTTTTGCTAGTTGAGATAAGGAGAGCTATACAAAGAGATTCCTAGCATTGCTTCCATATACAAATGTGTTTCATTCTAAATTGATTCATCTCTAACTAACCTTTTCTCTAGCTCCTGATCCCCTTCTCATATTGACCTCTGTCGCTTTAAAGTTTCTGTATTTATTCCTCTGCAGTGAGGACATCAAATACTATCATGTTTTGGGTTTCTTACCTATCCCCATACCTCCTGTGTATGTGTAAGTTTATTATTGTCATCAAATTTGGCAGTTTTGCTTATCATTTTCTCAAATATGTTTTCTCCTGCACTTCATTCCTAAAACTCCAATTACAATAAGCCTGTCTTATTCACAAACAAAATTCCTGCTTATGTATTGACCAACTCAGTAATGCAGAGAAGCTGTCATTCACACATTATTGTCAGTTGTGTTTAAACTCTATGCATCCTGAGCATTTGCAGTTTTTCCTCAATGATGGTAACCTATGCCTATGTATATCAAGGATCTACTGTACATTTCTAGATTGCTTAATGTTGTCCTATATGTCAGTAATGTTTCATTAATTTTTTTTCTCTATTGCTTTATTTTGGCTGTTTCCTGTTGTTATTTTTTTAAATTCATTGTCTTAGTCCAAACGGCTACAACAAAAATATCACAACTGGATAACTCATAAACAACAGAAATTTATTTCTCACATTCTGGGAAGACAAGGTCAAATCACTAGTAGATTCAGTGTCTGATAAGGGCCCATTTCTCATAGACAGTATTGTATAGCTGCATCTTCACATGGTGAAAGGGTCAGGCATCTCTCTGAGGCCTTTTTATCAGGTTGCTAATTCAATCCTGAGAGTTCTACTTTCATGATATAATCACCTCACAAAAGTCCCACCTCTTAATACAGTGATTAGCTTTCCATATATATATGAATTTTGAAGGGAACACAAATATTCAGACCCTAGAATTCACTATTCTTTTCTGCTGTAGTACTTAATGTTCATATTATTTTTCATTTCAAATATACTGATCTGTCTTACTGGAATATGTAGAATTCTGTGTGAACTAGCAAAACATTTAGTGTGGGTAGAAGTTTTGTGGTTTTTTTACTTGTGAGGATGACAGCGTGGTAGAGTAGAAAGAATGTGATTGAGAATATATGGACAAGATTCGATCTAAGTAATAAAATAACATGGAATTTATATAGAATAAACAAAGCTGTATTCATACAACTAGTATATATTTAGCTTAGGAAACAAAGGGCATCAAATTACAGTCATTCTACTAGAGGGCATATTGTAAACAAATAAGAGTATGTACCTAATGGATCAAGTGACCAAAATACCTGCTTTTAATCAGGAGATTTAGTTGATAAATTAGTGAAATGGTGTTTATTTTCAATATGTGGGACAAAGTAAAAAACAAAATAGTGAGAATATTAACTTTTTGTGAATGAAAGTTATATCTCCTTATATGTACTATGTTATTAAAAATAACCTTAGCTACATAAAGTTAACTTTAATTATCTTTCTGCTTAAGAAAAGAATGAATTTGGAACATAATACTGCAATTTACATGGACAAGGCATCTGATTACATACCTAAGCATTTGTGTTTATTGAACTGTGGCATTTCTTGACCTCTGTCCCCCTTGCATAGCAAAAAGACTTTGTGTCATTCTTTGGTAAAAACATAAAATCAAGTTAAACATATTGGGTAATCACTGCCTACTTGATAAAACTGTTACTGAAGTATGATTTCAAGGCATCCCTATTTTTTGCAGTAAATATTCGTGGATATTATACTGTCGGTGTCTATCCTATGTAAAGGCAAGGCTTCTTACCTGTCTTTAATCCTCCATCACTGCCTTACCTCCCCAATCCTAGATAATACTTGCAGTAATCTTATTTTTAATGTAAAAATTTTAAAATCATGCTGTGACACATTCTAGTCATATATTTTTCTCTTTCTCTCAGAGTTGCATTTGGAAACTGTAATGGGTTAGTCATAGTAGATTTTATCCAGAAGACAGTACTGTTAAGCATGGGGACCATTGACCTATATAGATCAACTGACCTATACCAGCGGCAACCAAGGTCTCCTCGAAAGAACAAGCAATTCATTGCAGGTAGGAGAGAAAACAAGAGGGGTTATGGATATGATTTGTTCATCTGTTTTCCTACTTTCAGATTTGTCTTTGTTTTGTGATACAATTCAAATGCATGGTAATACTAACATGAGTTGTAATACCATGTAAGTAAAATGAATTAGACAGAAACTGAAAATCTTTGAATAGGCATGGGAGGCATTTAAAGTTTAAATAGTTACTGAAGTTAGGAAGCATCTCAAGTTTCTTAGGCTGAATTCTTAAGAAACAATGGAAAACAAGTAGCTATGAAATATAAAAATGCTATGGAAATCAGGGTTCTCTAGTTGAAAAGCTGCTTGCAATGGTTGTGTTAAACAAGTTGACTTTCTTCAACTATATCTGGCCCCTTTACAGAGATAATTTAAGGTTATTCACTACTTACAATTTTTTAAATGACTCCATAATGTAATTGTCACCTTTTCTTGCTGGCTGACATAATTAGAAGTATTTTCACAAACACAGTAAAAATTATCCATTTAACACTTTTAAAATGATATGGAAGATGGCATTTAAATAAATAAATTTATTTAAATAGAAAAGAAAAGAAACTTCAGGTTACTTCAAATGTAATAGCAAACTTTGATACACTGAATTATTTAAAATTTTACTGTTATTCCAATATATATCCAAGTAGGTGGCTTTATATACATCAAAATTTTGTTTATTTTTCATTCATTGATATAGTCTAGTTGTTAAAAATTAGGCAGAAAGTTTACAGATTGAAATATTTCTATAGTTTTATGTGTTACTTTAGACAGTTCTTTAAATTTTCTACTTTGTTTTATTTAAAACAATCAATTGGGTATCAAAGCTTCTACTAAATATACCCATGAAAAGAATATTTTATAATAAAATATCAAAATCTGACATGATTATAGCTATTTTCCAAATAGGATTATCAAATTTAACATTTGAATGTGATAATAAATGAATTTCCCTTTTGGACAGGTGAACTTTGATATGCTTAGATTCTCCTTCTTTGTTAGCCTTTCTTTTATAAACCTTAGTACTTTCTAAACTGCTAATTTAGACTCTTCAGGGGCACAAAATTTCTCTTGGGACTGTGGGGGTTTTGTTAAGGATCTCTGCTTTTAGCAATATTTTAGGAGTCCTAGAAATTTTAAGTTCTACACAATCTGCCTCTACCACTACTAGCTTTTGAAAGAAAATCAGAATGAGGGAAATTGTGCATACATACACCACAGTATTCCTGCATCGTTGCAAAGGAGAAGGTTGAATTTTGAAAGTTCAGAGCTTCTAGGATGGGATGATATTAGAAGGCTGGTGGTAAGGCGCTGTTTTTCTATACTGGAAACACCTATTGGTCAGAAAAGCTGTGGATTCTCTGACAGCATCACAGTAACTTGCTGGATATCCACAGTATGTTGAAAAAGAATATTTTGAAGAAGGAAGACTTTTAAAACTTCTTTCAAACTTGTTGATCTTTAATATGATAATAGCTTAGAATTTTTTTAAATAATTCTGTGTGTTGAACTTGGGGCCTTGTGCTTACTGGGAAAGCACTATACCACTTGAGCCATGCCCCCAACCCTATTTGCTTTAGTTGTTTTTCACACATGGTACCATGCTTCTGCCTGGAGCTGGCCTCAGGCTGTGACCCTCCTTCCTTTGCCTCCCAGACAGTTGGGATTTACAGGTGTTTGCTTCCACACCTGGATTTTTTTTGTTGAGATGTGAGCTCACTAACTTTCTGCCCAAAGCTGGCTTTGAACTATGATCTTTCCAATTTCTGTCTCTCAAGTTGTTGGAATTGCAGGTGTGGACCATCTGGCCTACAGCTTTGATTACTTTAAAACAGGAGGAAGCAGTGATGAAGTCACAAACTCAGTTTCTGTTCTACTATACAAGATGACTATACACTTTATATTACAAAAATAAAATAGTTTCTGCCTGGCAGTGAGGGGGTAGCAGGGGAGAGGGAGGGGGCATGGTAGGTAAGGTAGGGGGTGGGGGAAGGGGGAAGAAATGACCCAAACATTGTGTGTACATATGAATAAAATTAAAAAAAAAAAAAAAAGAAAACAATGAGGTTGCTACTTGGATATTTATACAATGGAATCTTCTATAAATTAAAACTGAAAGTCATAAATTAAAAAAATAAAATAAATAAATTATTAAAGACAAATCTCTAAGCTTTCTTTTTAATTGATGAAGGATTAAAGATAATTATTTTGATATTAGTGAAGTAATTTTTACCTATATTTATAAATCAAGTAAATGTACTATATAAAAACATCTAAGAAAAATATACCATCAAATTTTATGTTTAATTAAATAAAATTGCTACAGCATTCTCACCATTCATCTATCACCTCTTACTTTCTAAATGATTGTTTTAATATCTCCTTTCTAATTTTATTACCTAATCTTGCTGCAATTACTTCATCTTGGCTGTTCTAGATTCTGGTATGATATCACTTCCTTTCACTTTAGACTATTTTTCTCTCTTTCCTCTGCCTGCTGCTGATGCTGATGTTCTGGCATGTTCCAAAGACAACTTTTGCATGCGTGGCCTGTCTAACTTTTATCCTGATTTAACGAAACGGATCCGTACTTCCTATCAGAGTAAGTTCTATAAAGGTTAGGCAAATAGCTTGTTTAAGTCATAATGCTTGTGTTAAATTTGTACATCAGTGCTCGGTAATGTGTTTTCTTAAAACACATTCAGCATGCATGCAAATTTTTGTTTTGTTATGGAAGTGCAACCTGATACTTTTAATAAAAATTATTGTATAAACATTACAAATCATTCTTGTCATGTACCTATTCACTCATACCCTTTGTTTGAGTTTTTATTTCAAACCATGCCGACTATGTCCTATTAATCTAAGAATCACTGTCTTTTGTTTTGAAGAAGAGTTTTGGTGTCCTTGTAAATAATTAATATGATTTATTATATCAGTAGTAACCTGGTGCTTTCTGTTTTTGGAAACCTTTTGGGCCATTTTATAACATTGTTTTAACCAGCACCACAGTATTTGCTTGTCTTTCTTGGAGATAACAAAGTATTCACAATTTCTGATGTTGATTAAGACAGAATACACAAACACATTCTTATAGTGATTTTAGGTACCAAACTCTGTGAAGTAGAGGAATTAGGGTCACAAAAACCACAGTGAATAATAATAATTTTCTTATGGTAGCAAATGCAGACTGAAGATAGGTGAAAAATATTCCAAAAACTAGTGCAGAAAGTGCAGGAAGTGAGGACGTGTGTGACTAAAGGTGCAGATAATGCTAGGTGATATGGGTAAAATTTATTGACATGAAAAAATGTATATGATGGTAATCAATACACTATATAAAAATCCATTTGCTTACATATAGATACATACACATAAACAAATACATATGTACACATTAACACACATTGCTTATAAGCTCAGTCTCTTCAGACTTCACCAGTTTGCACATACTAATGGAATCACATCAGTTATAAAACCTAAAACTTCACTGATTCATGCCTCTAGTTTAAGGAAATCAGTTCCTGTGATATCCTGAAAATTTTTCTGGGAGTGCCTAGGTGTTCACTTATTTTTGCTCAAATTCTCTGGTTTTCTACTGTAGCAAGTTCATCCTTTTTGGGGTACTTTCCACTGTTTCTGCTCCTAGTATCTTGTACAAGAATATTGATATCTATCCTGGCTTTTGTTGCTCCTAAAATGGAAATTTACTAGATAACAGGGTATTTCACAACATTTAAAAATTGTATGAAATTTCAGTTTACATAATAAAGTTTTATTGGAACACAGCCACACAAATTCATTTACATATTTCAATCACTGACTTATTACAATGGCAGAATTGAATACTCTCAACAAAAGTCATGATTCACAAAGCCCAAAATATTTAGTATCTTGGTCTTTACAAAATATTTTGCTGACCCTTTCTCTATTCCAGTCTTTCATACCAATCCTCTACAACCACATAAAGGGATTGCATCCAGAAACTTTCCTGCAAATAGTCTATAGAACTTCTAAATCCCAGTTATCCTCCTGAAGCTAGAATTCCCTTACATCATGTGTATGTGTGTGTGTGTGTGTGTGTACATGTACAGAGGTAGAAAACTTTGTAGAACATGAGATTAGATTTTGCCAATTTCTTATTTTAGGTTTACGTTTAAAAAAATTTTATACTGAACATGTAATGTTTTTATACTAAACGGAGGAATTGTGGACTAAGGATAAGGAACAAAAGCAAGAGTCTTAGTTCATCAGAATTCTACAGTATCGTCCATGATATAAAGGGTGAAGAAGTTTTTTTAAATGCTCAGTAATATTATATTACCTTCAGAATAAAAAAATAAACACTTTTAAACTTTCATTCAGAGTCCTTTAAAATATAATTCCTATCTATATCTTCAAATGGAATTTATACTACTCTTTATAAAAATACTACCCCTGAGCCAAATTTTTATATCTCACTGTTCTTATGATTTGCTTTTATCATGTCCTCTCTAGAAATGCCCTGTTAAAATCTCACTTTCTGTGATAAGCCTTTCCTTTGCCATTAGAGCCCTGTTGTACCATTTCCTTCACTTAAAAGCCCACAGTGCCTCCATGGTACACATTTGATTCATATGTTTTGGCTACTTCTTTGTATGCTTATGCTCTACCTTACCCAATGCATGACAAGAATTCGAAAGCCATATCAGTTAAATTTTTAATTTAAATTTTAAAAATGATAATTAAAATTAATAAATTTTAAATTTCTATATGTCCTTTACATTCAGTACAAGTTATGACCACAGTAAATAAATGATGATGGTTATAAGATAGAGGATGGCAGCAGTCTACTTTGTTTCACATGAACAGTCAAGGGGAGTTTTAACATTTGACCAACAAAAGAACATCAGTACTGGATTGATTAGGATTTTACAAAAGCAATCATGATTTCTTCTAACTAGATATCTAAAGCATCAAACAAACGTAAAAACAAACATAAAAGTCTTAGAAAGACTTAAAGAAATGCTCCATGTCTCTGCCTGTGATCTCCATGTGGACTCACATAAGCCCTGATCTTGAAATCACATGTCATAAAGTCTTCTTCTAATGTTGTATATTATGAAAAGGGACTGGTTCTTTAACGTCTCACAGGTAAGAACTGGAATTTACTTTTAAAAATAAATTTTATGAAAATTTGTCTTGAAGTTTTTAAATATGGTTATATTTGTATAATTTCATATTTTATAGAGACTGGGCAGCTTTTTCACGAATGACTTTCACATATTGGTGTTGTCACTATTTGGGGAGACCAAATGTACTCCGCTTGAGGGGCCATCATGGTTTTTTGTTTGTTTGTTTGTTTTTGTGGCACTGGGGCTTGAACTCAGGGTCAACACCTTGAGCCACTCCACCAGCCCTTTTTTGTGATGGATTTTTTTCAAGATGGGGTCTCTCAAACTATTTGCCTGGGCAGGCTTCGAACCATGATCCTCCCGATCTCTGCCACACAGTTAGCTAGGATTATAGGCGTGAGCCACCATCGCCCAGCTCATCATGTTTTAATTATACTAGATAATTTAATTATATTTATTATTTAATAAATTATAAAATCATTATAAATCTATGAGGAATATGAATATTTGTTAGTAGATTCCTCTACAGATAAGAAAATTAAAGTCAAAAGAGAAAAAATCCATCTCTTAAAGTCATGCAGAATAAGTGAAAAACAAACTTTCACCTATATGACACTAACGTGATTCCATATGTTCTCCATTGTATGATTCTGTGACTCTTAATTGCATTTTGGAGTTTTGGGCACACTGGAAACCAAGTCCATTATTCTATAATCAAAAATCACTTTTCCTCAAGTTTTTACTCAGTGTAGTAACATTCAAAAACTAAACTATTTGAGATTGTTTTCACATGTCTAAAATGAGACTTAGACAAAGTTCTTCTAAAATGTGTTTATATTTTACTTTATTCAACTGTATTAACTTTGCCCGTGCAGTGATGTTATATAGTTCAAACCTAATAATTTTCATTTATGAAGAAATAATCTTAATTTAAATCTTTTCTTCGGGCTCTTTCCCAGTCACTTATCACCATCTGCCTTTCTTAAACCTCATCTGCAAATCGTTCACATCATAAAATAATAAAATTTCAGCTAGAAAGCTGAAAGGAAATTTCTATATTTTATTAATTATTGTTTACAGAAGCAGTGAAATGCTTTGGAAAGAGCAGATATATATTCAGAAGATTTAGATCAAATTCTGCTTTTTCAACTTACTACTTACTACATTTGTAGTCTTAAGACATTTAATCACTCTTGAGTTTTTCTTCTCATATATTAAAAAAAAGTAAAATTCATAATCCCTACTTCCCTTAAAGGTGCAGAACTTTTCTGGGTTAATGTTTATAAAAATACTTCTAAAATATTAGATAGTTTCATATTCTAATATATGATGAAGCCAAGTAACAGAAAGGTTACATAACTTTTCTAATATGATAACTAATATATAGAAGACTTAGGACTAAAGTTCAGTCTGTTGCCTCAACTGCCTAATGTTCTACTCATGGTAATAACAGAAATTTTGCTATTTAAAAACATATTGTGTGTCATTTGAGTCAAAGAAAGTTTGAATAGTATGCTTAAGGTATAGCATTGTCAGAAAACCTTACTTGTGCATCAATTTCTAGTTATGCAACAAATGATTGATTCTTTGGAAAGTCTCACACCTACTTATAAATAGTTTCCACTTTCACTAAGTGATTTTTTTTTCAACTTGCAGAATGACAGAAGGCCCTCAAAACACAAATCAGAAAAATAAAGGAGAAAGAGAAATTAAGAAATGGGGATGATAAATATAAGACAATTAGAAAGAATAGAAAGGAGAAATACCTCAAGGAAAAAAAGACAGCAAAAATTATGGTAAACAACAAATGAGGAATGAGGAAAAACCCATTCATTCAAAGAATATTTTGTGAGCTACCATGTTGAGTGTTTTTCTAGGCAGTAAGGGCACAGTGATAAGTGAAACAATTTATGGTGCTTTCCTTCCATTTATTATAGCCATATAAAGGTAAATAAATCATACATATAGTATTATGATTGATAAAAAGTAGCAATGCTATGGTAGAGAAAAATGAGATGGAACTGATTTTCAGTGTTGTCAGGGAAAAGCCTATCCAAGGAGGAAGCATTTAAGTGAAACTTTGCAAGATAAGAAGAAAACAGTCAAAGCTTTAGATTTCCACTTCCAAGTAAAATAGAGTCACAGGCATCAAACAGTCTCCTGTCTGAAACAAACAAAAGTAAACAAACAAAAAGCAACAATAACAAAGAGAGACAAAATAAGGAAGCAAAAGTTTTAAGACACAATACTTCAAATAATTTTTTAAAACTGATCTCTGACAAACGAGAACAAAAGAAGTGAACCCTATAATCACATTCATGTATGGCTATTTTCCAAAAAGAGGGGAAGCCCCCTTTTGGAAGGAACTGATTAGCTCCCTAAAATGGAGACATGTAGATAAGAAATGGTGAAACCAAAGCTATGAACTCACAAAAAAAGATTTCTAACAATATAAAGAATTTCCTCCTCAAGCAAAATACTGATCAAC